TTCAAGTGGTGTGACGTTAATAAATGTATCTCGGTGATACGCTAGTGGTTTCGTGTTCAGAGTCCATCTTAATGAAAAACGCACACAGAACAACTTCGTTTAATTTTTCACGAATCCTAGTATTAGACTGAACAGTATTTTACAATAAATCGGATATTCATAGGCAACAGTTATTACAATCACAACTTCCTCTAAAATTGGCGACCATTATATGTACCTACGTGTTAATGTAAGTGCACCAAGCTAGAATAGCAAAAATACTATATACGAAAACGTACATTTATAATGATTAAGCAAGAGCCGATAGTAATAATTTTTTTCACTAACCGTTTTAAAATAAATGTCATAATATCAAGTACTACGGGCCGTACTTCATAAATCACTTTAACAAAGTCACAATAATGAAATAACAATCTGCAACTTTATTATTTACATTACAAGCTTACAACAATCAGCCTTGGAATTATTGAAATGAAAAAAAAATGTGACAAGTAAGTCCTTAAAGTAATTTCGTAAGTCACCGCGGTCTTCAGTACCGTTCCAACCAGTCCGTCAGAGATCCATCTCAGTTATTAATCAGTGTTATCACCCGACGCGAGTTGCTTAGGCTGTGGTCTCCTATAAACGCCTAGCTATCGCATATGGCTATGCATTTTTTTTTATGATAGAGGAGGATAGAGGCTTTACTTAAACGTAGGTGAAATATCCCAGCCTATAACATCTAAACAAGATGCGCTGTCGCCCTTTTTTGGCTTTGGATATTCGGACATCCACCTGTGGACGGTGGTTTGTTACCCATACGGAATTTAGCTATTTCTACCACCCCTTTATATCCAGATTTCCAGACGAAGGCCAACACGCTGTACGCGACCTATTGCATTAATTTGATAGTTAAGAAATGTAATTTTGCTGCCTCTTTAATAAGTTGTTTGTGGCTTAGGCATTCAAATGATTCGCACCGCGTAACACGTAGACTACTTCGGTAGCTACACTTCGGCATTTATATGAGACCGAAGCCTTATCAATCAGTGCTATCAACCGACGTATGATGCGCTTATAAAACTCGATATCAAGAAGAATTTAAATTCAAATGATGCCCTCTGAAGATTGCCAGAGTACTGGGTATTCCCGTTGAACGTGCTATATGAGATGGAGGCAGCTGATGGGCTTTTGGGAACAGTTCTGGCAGTTTACAGACGCTATCGACGTATAAAAACAGCACCGCCCGGTCATTATTAAACTTTATGCGCATAGTTGCTGCCGGCGGTTTCGCTTGCTTATTTATTTAAAAATACTTCGACGTAAAGGAATAAAATTACGGCTCAGGCAGAATTTGAACTGGCCACGGTGCGCTGTTGCTCTAACGGCTAACCAATAGAGCTACCGAGTTCTACACATCATAGTCGATTTTTTTCAACCTATCGATTCATGAACCTCCCTCGCAATGTCCGGTTCGTAATTTTTTCGATTTATAGTCGATTTTTTATTCATTAAAGTTTTCAAATTACTTCTAAAGTTTTAACTTCGCAGTATTTCCTTAATTAAGCTTACAAGAATGCAACCCCCTCCGACCCGACGTTTCAGATGCTTTGCAGCAAACGGAGCTACATAAGATAATATATTTCGCATGCAAACCGTTATTTTTATTCTATGCTCCAAAAAATCATATTTTAGTGGATAGGTATACAAAATTTGAACGACGACAAATACACGTGCCACGGAAATTATAATAATTCCCAATTGTCCCTCTGTTTTGTTGTAAACGATGAACCTTTACAAACAAACAAACATAAAGCAATGATTATATAAGTAGTATAAAAAATATCACGAAATCATTTATTTTACTATTGGAGACTATGTTGATAGCGTGTGACATAAAATATGTCAACTCATTAAATATAAAAAACTTTTATTTTTTAAGCAGTTAACCTAGAAATTCTACTTGACACTTGTAATTAAGAATTATGTTAACTTATACGTTTACACCACTTATACATTGAAATTAATTACCAAAATTCATAACTAAATACCACCTACTAGTCCAATTTAAAGTATTTAAAAGAAATGTGGCATTGATTACTAGTTATCCTTATTGAATAATTTTTTATTATCACTTCGCGTGAGATTTAACAATTTTTAAGTTTTTTAATTAACGCCACAGATGTAACGTAGGTACCTACTACAAATTAATATGCAAATATGTAGATATAGATGTTCTAAGCGCGAAATAAAACATCTTAATAGAGATAAACCTTTTTATGGAGGAGGAGGATAATAAAGGACAGACAAGCAAGACGTTCACTTGAAGACAGGTGAACCCCAGGTATAAAACATCATAACAGGAAGCGCTGTCAATCTAACTATTTTGAGTTTTGGATATTCGGAAATTCACAAACTGAAACCGCTTTTTCATCTATGGACGTTGTTTCGTGAGCCGGACGCTCTATTCCTACCGCTCATTTAAACATGCATGTTCTGACTCTATCATCTAGTACTGTAAATTGTTTAGAAACAATATGTTGAACCCGGTGGGGATCAAATCCACGACCCGTTGATTATTAGCCATACACTGTTATTATTATACCGACTATGTTTTTCATCAGTATTGGCTCATATATATTTTTAAGACTTATTTTTCTATAATATATATTTTCGACTCGGTTCTATCAAATAGATAATTTTTGTCGGATACTCTTGTCTTATTTTACCGTAGGGCAGACAAGCTTACACATTTTCCCATCTACAATGTTACTATGGGTAGCTTTTTATCGTATTATGTTACGGATGCCCCACGATATAGAAAATATTATTCAATATATCGAGAAATCGTTACGATAAATTTTCTAGAAAAGCATTAACCGTTGAGGTCTAGACCGCGCGGTTGCACCGTTGTGTGACGTCACTAAATAGAGACAGAATCATACGTTAGAACGAGAGAGGTATATAGCAAAAAACAAGATGCCAAATAGGGATCACATGGGTAAAAATAACGCAATAAATGACGAATAGTCTGTGGAAAAGCTCAAAGCTTTAGTGGTTTGTCGTTTTTCTATGTAATATTGTATATTTAAAAGCTTTAACACTTTCAGTCACGACTGGTTTACGTAACATTGCAAAATTCAGTAACATGTGGCGTTATCTGTTATTTAATTGACTGGTTCCGATAATAGTCTGTGATTGAACACATAGCAGGAAGTGAAGATGCTCCGTGTCGTAATGGTATTTAGAGCTTTTATTTTTTACTATTAAGACTAATTGTAATATTGCTTTAGTTGACTACAAGATATTTATTTAACACCCTAAATGTATTATAAAACTCAATGAAATATAATATGGGATTTCAATAGGGAATCAAAAGGCATTCATAATTCAATGTGACATTAAAATAGTGCTTACAAATTAAATGCATTAAACCCCCAATAAAAGCCTAGTATGTCTAATAAATTTACGCCGACAATACTACGTATCAACATTCGAATCTAAGCGCATGCGCACCCGCACTTATTACTCAATCTATTCCTTGATAACTTAACACCTGTCATTACAAAGAAAATAAACACCTATTCATAAGGAATAAGGTGTAAACTCCGTTGTTTAACGCAATTATTTAAGGCGTTTTAAAAGCGCTAATTGTTTTGTCGATTTAAACTGATAACCGGAAAATGAGTTTATCTCGCTTTTATGTCTAACAAAGTAATGCGCTTGTCTCTTTCACTCAGCCTATTTATCTAAGACCGTAGTACGGATGGAGTGTTGAAAATATAGTAATTCACGTCTCAATTATTGTTACGTCTCAATAATATAATTATACCTTTGAGTAACGGCGAGGTGCACTTAAATGGTATTTTGTTGTGTTTATAAGATCTTATTGTACACCGCAAACGTAAATATTTTAAAGCATAAATATTTTGGTCTGTGATAACGTATCTATGTCTCTATATAAATAGGTCATAGGGTTTTTGAACTCCTAAATTGTAAAAATGACAAATAGTATCCTAAAACAAGGAGCGAACTCTCAAGCAATTCGTCTTAATTTGGGATTTCTAGATTCACTCTAGAGTCTAGGCCAGTAACACACAACCTTAACCAACTAATAACATTTGGGAAAAGGAATTTAATTGTATCGTATAATTTTTTACATGGTTGGAGCTTCACAAAACCCTACTTAGGTTAGTAAATAAATTGTTCTTCGTGTATCAAACATTTTGAACACAAGTGAAGTTTGTCAGCGACCGATAACTTAGAATACCCTCATGTACAAAAACCTGGAAAGTTTTTACGGCATCCACGCAACACTGACTTGGAAACAGCTCATAAATTGGCAGCATTTTTTAAAATCACTAGTACGATACTATGGGATCGTATTTTTACATTCTTTATGATGCTTTTATGTTGTCAGCGTTGCATTAAAATTCATGCAAAACCGAGTGCTGCGCGTTGTCAAGTTGTTCGTAGTGACTGACGGATGAACTCGTTTGTGGATTGCGATTCCCCAGGCCTTTGTTAAGCATTGGCTACTGATAAGTTCGTATACGAAATAAACACCAATCGATGTGGTGACACTTTGTAATGAAAAACCTCCCTATAAGAGGATATAGGGAGGTTGTTTAATTATAAAGTGTCATTATTTTAGTGTAAAATCATCGTATATAGGATTACTAATTTAGTAGTAACTGTTTGTTAGGTACTCACAACAAATAAGTATAAAAAAAAAACAGAAAAAAATGAACTGTAGCGCGCAACGGCCGAGTAATCTCTTTAAACACTCCTAAACAGAAAAATAAGGTGAAACAAAAATATCGGAACGTGCAGTTATTAAAACACAAACTATATCTGTTCACTAGATTATATTTAATTAAGTACGTCGATCTAAATTTAAGGCTGGAATCAAACCTACATATATTAAATACTATATATTACAACTAACACCACTTAAAGGTGTATCCCATAACAATTGTATAGAATACTATTTAACAATGATAAAACATCGTTTTATAATTCTATTGAAACGTCTCTCCTCGAATTCGTTCTATATTGCCCAAATCTGCTTGGAATATAATATCCATAATCGCCTTCTTCACATATGTTAGAGTTTCACTGTCGTATTTCCCCAGTTCAGACGCTACAAGTTTGCCAAAAATCTCGTTAGATTCTTCATTATTATATTGCTTACTACTCGCTCCTAGATTCTCCTCTTTTATTAAAGTGGGTGGGTTACTATGAGCTACTTCTTCGACCCATGCCTCTTCCACAGGTATTCCCTCAGTAGACGATGATTCGTTATCACTGTTGTCTTCAGTTTCTGTATTATTTCTTTTTCTCTAAAAAGATATAGTGAAATTAAATATTTATAATCTGATTTATTTCCAAAGCAATATTAATACATACTTTCTTGGATTTATATTTATCTAGATCCTGTATATCTAATAAAAACTGCATGTGTTCAAATGCGAACCATTTCGATTTGTATGGTTGACCGCCTGAAAATCAAGAAGTATAAATAACATAGTAATAACTATTGTAACAAAACAATACCGTTAATCTCTTGTGAATATTGGTCTTGGATTTAGTTAGGTGCCTGAAGGGTTAGTGTAAGACATAAACAGGTTTTTACTGCGAATCCAAAGGTATTTTTATATTAATTTAATGGTATTATGATTAAGGCGAAAATATTAAATTATCGAGACAACGTCTGCCTCTTTAAAAAAATCTATATTAAAAAACAATATAGTCTAAATATTATCTAAATACAGTAGAACCTCGTTAAGTCGAACCTCGATAAGTTAAAAACCCCCGCATCTCAAAAAAAAAAAATGTGTTCCCTTTCTTTTCAAACACCAAAACCTCTATTAGTCGAAATAAGAAGTGAGTACCTCCAAGCCAATTCGGTACTTATATTCCCTCCATAACTCGAAAAATTATTTTTACCTATTAATTTCGACTTTGGCGAATTATAATTTGCTTAAAACGAAATTCTCTCTAAGTCGAAAACTATATAACTCGAATTTTTTGGCGTCTCCCTTGATATTCAATTTATAGAGGTTCTACTGTATCTGTCGAATTTATAAAAGTGCATTGACATATACACATTCAAATTAAATCTTCATATTATTAATATCTGTTGTAAATAATAAGGCTATGAATTACCAGATGTTAAAGAATTTCTTATTCTAGATTTTTCTTTCCGCAAAACGCCTCGTAGGTTATAAATTGTTCGTTTCACTTCCTTCACAGGCATATTGACTCGTTCGCTTATGTCCTTCCATGCTTCGTCCTTCTTCCTAGTGCTGTGACATTCTCTGCGATCCCAAAGTATATTATGAGACTCAAACGCCTTAATAACATCAATACACTGCTGTTTTCCGTTCATGTTTAAAAAGTCTATAGAATACTCTTACGTTGGGCGTTCGCCTCGCACTGAGGCACATTTGTACGTTTCGTGTAATGTGTTGTCGCGCTTGCCACGCAAACCGGCAACGTCGCGCGGCAAATGGCCGTGGCGCGGCTGCCTCGGGTCACCCACTTAAACGACACAATACCATTATATTCGATTTACTTATCTTTACCAACGATATAAGAAAAGGTCTGTGGTACATATTGTGTTTTTATTATATCTGCGCAGTTATATTTTTAAAATAATTTCATAAGAAATCGTTTTATATAAAATAATGTAAATGCATAAAAACAGAATGTAAGGCTTATGTTAAATTAAAAATCTATTACCTACAAGTTGAAAATTTACAACTCGGACAGGATTTGAACCGTTTCGTGCTGTAGCTCTAACCAATAGAGCTACCGAGTACTTGAGACTTGAGGCTCGTATACCTATAGCGCCATTAAAGTTTTCAAAGGCTTATGATAATATATATTAACTTGACCTACTTATTAAAATATACAAATTATTAATACCTTCCCACAAAACAATAATTTTCAATATCTACAATTCAACATGACGTTATACCTACCAGCTTTTAGTAGAATACAATTATAAATACATATCTGAAAATCATTATTATTTACGTATTATTGAAAATTTTCATGTTACACTTTTCACATAGAAACTTTTCTAGAGATCATTGATTTCTTTCCGACGCATGTGATTATTGTACTAATTAAACGGTTTTATTTAGCTCGATCCGTACTCAATTTATTTATTTGGGTCAAAATTAGAAATTAAAATTTAAGCTTTTTCCCGTTGTCAGATTGATCTGTAATTTGGTAAACACATTTAATTTGGATGACAATACATCATCAATAACATTATAAATCCAAGATGGCCGCCGATACAAAATGGCGGATTACCTACATATTTTTCCTCAACCCCAACTATATAGGTATCAAATAATAGGACTACACTAGTAAAACACGATGAGTATGTCAAAATTTAAAATATTTGTAATTATCAAAAAATAAAACCGTTTAACTTAATCGTTTTTTTTTAAGTTAATACTTGTTTTTACTTGAATTTATTTTACATGGGTGCAGTTATTAATATAAATTTAGAAGTGTACTTCAAGATAGCGTATTCAACCTATAGTTTGATTTTATGCGTTATTATTTTACCAACTTTCAAAAGTTGAATGAAAGTAATATCCATTCAACTCCCAAAGTTAGTAAAAAATTGAATGGGCAAAGTGATGACATTAAATCTCTTTTATTCGTTCTTGCGAATAACCTTTCATTGCTGGCATGACTGCTTTATTACGGCAAAAGCCGCGGGTAGTTATATAGTTATTATTATATACTTTTCAATTTGTATGAGAAATTAATCATACCAAGCCGGAGGCTGGATGAAAATTGATTTTTAATGGTTTTAAATGAATTTTTTTCGGATAAATCACGCACGGTGGTCAAATTGAAGAGCAAGTTTATTAATGATATTAAGTGATTACCCTCCTACCATCATACTGGACGTGTATTACGAAACATGTAATACCGACCTTTGAAAAAAACTTTTAGATGAAATTTCCAAAACCTCCTCTTATTAAAATTTGAAGCATTGGTATAATACAAACTTATAGACATAATATTTATCATATACTAGCTGTGCCAGCGACTTCGTTCGCGAGAATCGTTATTTTGGGTATCAAAATTAGTTTTTGCAAACCCCGTCATCTTTATAAACTTAAGCTGTTAGCCACGACGTAGATCGCGTTTTAAAAAGTTCTTGCACGTTAATATTAAAAGATAGACATATAGCGTCGCGGACATTTTTAGATCAATTAAAGAGTAATCATTCTTTTTAACACATTTTTTTAGGTAACCGTTTTCGCAGCGTACGCATCTGAACCCAAAATTTCATTCGTTTTTTTCACATTTGCCGCTGTATCTTCGCTTTCGTTAGTCGCAGCGCGATGTTTTATACTCTATAGCCATCCTCGATAAATGATGCTCTAACAAAAACAATTTATCTATTCGAACCTGCAGTTCCTAAGATTAGCGCTTTCAAACAAACATACAAACTCTTCAGATTTATATATTAGTATAGCATCTTGGCTTGACATGACTGCGTCGTACTTGTTAAGTACGATGCAGTCAAGCTAGTACTTATAATAGCAAAATAATGATATCATTGTCATCTCAAATTACTCAGTTCGCTTTTCTGCGAATGTCAAAATAGAAATTCGGATGGACGCATATTTAATATGAGCAGGGATTAGCAACCTTTTCATATCAGATATAACTCAGACTAGATAATGCGAGATATTCAACGGTTGACAGGCCGACTTTTAAATTGATTTAAATCGAAAAATAAGTGATTGTTACACAAGTGTATCGATCACAAGGTACTATATTTTGGTCCAATCCAATTGAGCTTCAATAATAAACAAATCTCATTTTTAGTTTAGGAACGCCGAACGCAGTGCTTTTACAAATAGGATTTGATATATTTCGTTATTTAAGGTAAACTAATTAGATAGACATGAAATCCAAATGTTCTCGATCTCTGAATAGAAATGGTTTTATAATTAGTCTGCACTCCGCTTGCAATATCAAATTGCAATGGAAATTATCTTTAAAATATCGCTGACCTGTGTTATTTGAGAGAGTGAATTCAGGACATTATGTATAGTCCATGTTTATTATTAGCCCCCTTTACTATTAAATTCCATCCATACTAATACAAAGATAGACTGCGTTTGTTTGTCTGTCTTTTATGCGTTCATATCATTCCATTGTTTTGTAAATTATGTATTATTAGGGGTTTCTTGGAAATATTTAGTTATTAAGTTATTGGAAAATAGAAAAAATCTATGCCTATAATGTTATAGAGTTTGTTTGCTTGAACGCGCTAACCTCAGGAACTACTGGTTCGAATTGAATTTTTTTTTGTAACAGACCATTTCTCGGAGAAAGCTTTAGCCTACCTAAATCACGCTTCGGCCAACAGGAGCGAAGAAACAGTGGAAAATACATAAATATTAGTTTGAAGGCACTGTTGCGTGCCCTACAAAAACGAAATAAAAACAAAAAATATGTATGACTAAAAAAATCTTTTAAGATTAACTGGCAAGAACGGTGACACGCGGACAACGTCGAGTGTAACGACTAGTTTGGTAAACGAAAGGGACGGAGAATAAAATGACTACTTTTGGTCTGGATAAAAGTAGAACAAGTAACTCATTTTCTATTACAATTAGAACTATACTTGTTGAAATATTTAACTTATTTTCTTGTCGATGTTTCATTTTTTTTAATAACTTTTTTTTAATTTTTAAATATGCGGGCGCATTGCAAGTACAACATAATACATCTCTAAAGTATAATATTTATAAGTTATCGTCCTCAAGTTGATGATGGCCGGTGGCGAGGCGTGATGCACTTAAATAAATTGCATGAAGTTACATAAGGATGGTCCCCGAATTTCGGCAAATAAATCTGAGCACTTTCACCCTTGACAGCGAAGCTTATTAACTGTTGTTACCACAGAATAAAATGCGAATAAATATTTTTAATCTTCGCACCTCGGCGAATACCTTTTTTTATTGTCTTTTTTTATTCTAGAACCTAACTTAACAGTGAAAATAAGCCTTGGTTTGAAGATCTCGTTACCAGGCCATAAAATATAAAAAAAAAAACAATTTTACATCAAAAACCGTAGACAATTGACTAGCCTGAATCAAGATTGGCGGGCTCGTTGGTGTAATGGTATGGCAACGGGTCGTGACTTCATTCCCTACCGGGTCCAACGTTTCTCCAATTAATTTATATTAATTCTGAAACATGGAGGTCGTCTGGGAAACTGGATATTAAACTGGGTTTATTATCAAAATTCCATCCGGGCCACGAACAAAGTCCAAAATGCCGCAAAGTTTAATTGCGCTTCGGTTTCAGTCTATGGATATCCGATTATCCAATGCCAAAGTCGACAGTTGTTTAAATGGCTGGGGTATTTCTCCTAGCGAACCTCATACTTGTCTGACCTCTATTAAAAAAAAAAAAACGTTTCACGTCTTCACGTTTAACCACAATGCCACGGAAGTTTGGTGGTGATACATACATATAGAAAGTTTTTAAAGCATTTCTATCTAACATCTTTAAATTAAAGTACTAATTACAAGAATAATATTAATAAATTCTCCAACCACGATTCAACAACGTAAGCGTAAAAAGTATGGGATATAAATTGAGCATATAATTTTGCTAATCCAATGGAAGTCTTACGTGGGAGTCGGTTTAAGTACGGTTATACAGCCTTCACAGACTTAAATAAGCAATCAATTTTGTTTAAAGACGGCTATAACAATCCCTTTAGTATTTAAAGGAAGCTATTCGTATCCAAATACATGTGACGAACGAAAAACTACGCGGTATACATCGAGTGGATAAAATGTGATCTCTTTTTGCAAGAGACAACAATAAATCGAAATTTTTAAGGTAAGCATTCCGTACATAAATATGCAAAGGCCATAACGAATATCAATAAGTATTTTAAGCCTAAATGAAATGGGAGAAACTGTTTAATTGCGTCGTTTGCCCGCCTCAGTGGTCATTGTTTGTTCCAATGGTAAAAAGGGCCGTTGAAATTTTTCCAATGAATCGTCGAACAGTTTACATATAATATAGCTTGCGATTAAAAAACCTCCACTCATTTACATAATGGACGGATTTTCTTGTATTGTACAAACTTTTTATGAGGCATTCTTCAGTTTTGGTGGAACATTTCTCTGATTGTGTTAAAAAGAGTAGTTAATTAGTCTAGTTAGCTATTTAAGAACCAAAATGTTTTCAATTTGGATAGTGAACATTGTCAGGAAATTTAGAAAACTTTAATATTTGTTTCAGATGCACATGATGGCACTATATAAATTAAAAATTGATTATAAGTTGAAAAAAAATCACTCGGTAGCTCAATTGGCAACAGCACGA